TGTGTGTGTGTGTGTGTGTGTGTGTGTGTGTGTGTGTGTGTGTGTGTGTGTGTGTGTGTGTGTGTTTGTATGTTCCACTCTGAAGAGGTACATGTAAACATAGGCAAGCAATAGAAGGCATGCATTATGAATAAAAGTAAGTTCCAAAAATGGAAACCATTGCAAGCCAAAATTATGCAAATGAACACAATGACAATTAAATTATATTTCAAAGAAAAAAGTTCTTGTGTGAAGCTCGAAATGACCTAATTTGTATACAAAGCATGAACAGCAGCACCTGTTTTAACGGGAAGTTGCAGAATTCTTTTTATGCTACATGTTTTATTTTCATTCATATCTCTTTACAGGCTTTTGATTCCTCTCTTTGACCAGCTGTAATTGATTCAGTTACTGCCAAAGCCTACAGGAGGTTTAAGAGGTTTTAGAGTTTATTACTCTAAAAACTGTAGTTTTGTCCTGGGAAGACATAAATGTGTAATAGTACAAAAGCATCAAGTTGCACAAAATTAGTTAGTGTATGATTTCATTTGTGTTTGGAAATTTAGGTAGTACTAAGTGCTCCTTCTTTACGTTTTTTCACCAGGGTTTGGAGGCCTTGGAGCAGGAGGTACTGGGACTGGTGGAGGACTGGGAGCTGGAACAGGTTACACACCTGGAGGTCAGCAGATGTCATATGTCTGTATCAGCGTGGCTCTTGCATGTATATCAGCTAAATACTTACCTTCATACATGCTGGATCTCTGTGATCCACATACCATAGGCATACTGTACATACCACACAAAGCATTGGAAATGACTGAAATATGATTTATTTAATCTTCTTAAGTTTCCATTTACCATAAATGTGTGGTAAACATAAATATAAGCTCCTTATCTTTAAGGATGCATATGTAGCAAATAACACTCTGGTCTAACACAGGTGGATATGGAGGTGGTTATGGACCAGGTGGAGGAGTTCAATACCCAGGAATTGGTGGAACTGGTCCCAAACCTCCTAAAACAGGTAGGTACTATATGTTTATGAATTAATATTAGATGATACTATATGACTGACCTATGATATCATATGTTTCTTTTTCATCTTAGGTGGAGTTGGGACAACACTTGGAGGAACAGGATTTGGAACTGGGGGTGCAGGGGTTAGGCCTGGTGGAACAGGATTTGGACCAGGTGGTGCAGGAATTGGGCCAGGAGGTGCAGGGGTTGGGCCTGGTGGAACAGGATTTGGCCCTGGCGGTGCAGGATTTGGCCCTGGTGGTGCAGGAGTTGGGCCTGGTGGAACAGGATTTGGCCCTGGTGGTGCAGGAGTTGGGCC